CTTGAAACTTAGCTTTAAGAAGTTACTTACAAATATGGGTGTAATTTAAGAATACTCTGGAAAATAAAGAAACGAAGATGGACTTTTTTGGGCTTCATTTCAGCCAATTATCCGTTCTAATTATATCAGATAAGGATCGCAATAGGCCTGCGAAACGATGTCAAGTAATAGGTTATATGAAGTTTTTTTCGTGCTTGATATGTGCTCTAAGCCTTGATTATGTTAAAAACATTCTCAGAAAGGCAAAAATTGCTCGAGTTGGCTAGAACAGCAAAAAATTGCTCTAGACGCTAAAAGTCGCTCAAATGTTGCTGATTGCAAACGAGAAAGGCCTAGTAAGCGCTTATTTGGGGGAGGGCACCTATTTGAGCGTGGGCGCCGTCTCAGTTATCAGACTGAATCAATTCGGAATCTGATTCATTTGCCATTAATCAGGGTACTTCATGTGATGGCACGTTCAAATTACGCTAAACTTTATTCACTTTTTAGATAGTCATTTTTTCTGCCAAAGTCTAGAATAACTTTTCAGGAGGCTCTTGTACTCTTTTACTAAAGTGGGGGAGAATGCTATACTTGGCATAAAGAAAGGACGTTTGCGCCTGATAACGACTAGAAATTAATTATCTAGAAAATTTTTCTTGCTTCCAAATGCACAAAAACCTTGGAAAAAAGCTTTGTGAGAATTACAGAAAGGATCTCTCAGTTTTAGTGTTGATCAAATAGTACTTACTCATAATCTTAACATGTTAATAACTATAGTTGATTTAAGTCAATAAAGTGATTTTTCGCTGTTAAAAGTTGTTTTGTTGATTTCAAAGCACTGGTTATGACAGGAGGTTTGAGTTTGAAAAATAGAAAAATGGGTGTTGAGACTTGGGTGGTGAGTCCCAATGAAATTCCTTTGCAATTAGTAACTTTCAAAGAGGCACAACAGCTACTGTAGCTAGAAGTTACCTCCAGCTGGAGGTAACAAAGGATACTGCAGTCTCCTTTGCAGCCCTTCTCAGGACGGAAGAGACTGGGTTACCTAGAACTCTGCCATAACTCGGAAATTCCTTGGAAATTAATTATTTTCAAGAGGGCACAACAGCTAGCGAGAAGATAAGTTACCTCCACTCTCCTTCACAGCCATTCTAGATATAGGAGACTGGGTTACCCATAACTCTGAAATTCCTTTGCAATTAAATTTTAAGAGGGCAAAACAGCTAGCAAGAAGATCAGTTACCTTCAGA